TCAGTGATGCAGTGTCTCAGTGTGAGAGTGTACCAGTGTGCCATCTGTACCCAGTGCAGGATTGTACCCTTGCCCCTGGTTGATCAGGACAGTGTTGTAGGGGATGGGCATGCTGCTGGTGAAGGGACCGTAACAGCCAGCTGAGGAATCCATCGCTGCAGTGAACGCCACCTTCACGTCTCCTGAGAGAGGGACAGAGAGGGAGAGAGAGAACATTTGACCAAAGATAAAAAACAGCAAAAAGAAACAACATTTGACCAAAGATAAAAAACAGCAAAAAGAAACAGACCCTGACAGAGTACAGGCTCAGTGACCACAGCCTGGTCATAGAAACTGGACACAGGCAGACCTGGCTGTCCAGAGAGGACAGGCTGTGCTCCCACTGCCAGTGGGGAGAAATAGAGACAGAGGTGTACTTCCTACTGCACTGTGACAAATATTCTGGGATTAGAGAAACATTCTTCCCTAAATGTAAATGTAAATCTACTGGGAGAGGGAGGAGGGAACTCAGTTGAACTGGCAGCCCAGTACGTGATCTCCAGTCACAGCCTGAGGAACAGTGAGCCCGTCTCTCAGTACTTCCCCATGTGTTTGCATGTAACTGTGTTTAGATTCGTCTGTTAATGTCTGTAGATTTTGTGTTAATTGTATTTATCTTGCTTTTGCAACACTGATTTTCTCATTGGTCGTACCAGTAAAGCATCTTGAAGTGAATTGAATTGATAGAGGGAGATAAAGAGAGAGATGGGCAGAGAGAATGAGGGAGAGAGGGAGATGGGGGGAGAGAGAGGGACAGAAAGCTCTTTTTTACTTTTGTAGAGAGCTAGGGACCCCAGTGCAGCCCACACAGACTCACACTCTGGCAAATACAAACATGCTGATGGTGTCCGCTCTCAAAAACGAGCTTTAAACTCCTCCTTTCCTTCTTAAAGGCCCAAATATGAGGAGACACAGCTCGTGCGTGGAACACAGAAATGATCTTTTTTGGGTTTGCTTGTTTAAAGGGATGAAGTGATTTATTGTGAGGGAGGAGTTTCCACATGTTAAACATCTGGAGGTGCTGGACTGGTGTGTTATTTTCAGGAGTGGAACTGGGCTGTTTTGGACCATGGACCATGTATGGACCCTGTAAAAGTACTGAGGACACTCCTACAGATCCTGTTTGAAGGTCTGTCCAATACCTGTGAGTACCTTACCCGGAATGTGAACTGTTCCATTATGCAAATATCCAGTATATACAATATGGTATATAGCACAGTGCTGCTGTTCAAACCCTTAATTCTGGGGAGTCAGGAATCCAGTCCCATTGGACAGTGCAATCTGGTGCACTCTCTCACTGCTGCCACCTAGTGGCTGCCAGGCGCAGAATACAATGAATGTCAGTCTGTGGGAAGTACAGTACTGTAGGTAGCGCCTTTCTGGCTAATGATGTGTTTACATACACCTTTGTGCACACATTGTCATTAGAGCTAGGGGCTAAGTCTGGGAAGATACGTCTGCTGACAGTGTGACCGTACACCATGCAGATAAGTGTGACAGTGTATCAGTGTTTCAGTATAACAGTGCGACTCAGTAACCAATGTTAATATTTAACTGCACAAGTGTGCTGTGGTAGGGGAGTAATTAAGGTCTGATGTGATGCATAAAAGTGAAAATCCTCCTTTCAAAAATCCTAAAACTTTGAGACCTCCTCTATGTAAACCTCTATCGCTTCTTTAACATGTTGATGTAAACCTACTCGTTTACATCAACATGTTAAAGAAGCGATCAGAGAGGTTACGAACAAGCAAAGACTATGAGGCCCATTTCCAAGACCTAGTCTTACTATATAAGGCAGGTAACTCCATGCAAGAGCATTTAAAACTTAAAACTGGATGGGCTACTTTTCACAAAAGGTTGGTGGGGGTGTGGAACAGGTTTTTTTTTCCCAAGAAACAGCTGGAGGAGATGCTTAGATATTTTAGCTACTATAATAATATCCTTCCGCTTCTAGAGCTCTTTTCTGGACACTCCACTCAAATCTCTTTACAGGTCATGGGGATCCCCTCCACCCCCACCAGTGTGCAGCCCCACCTGGATGATGCTCCAGTCCTCTCCCCACACACCAGCTCTCAGTGGGGAGCAGAGCAGAGTGATGAAGCCAGTTCAGAGATGGGGATTATTAGGAGGCCTGGGGTAAATTTGGCCAGGACACCGGGGTAACACCCCTACTCTTTTCAAGAAACACACCGGGTATTTTAATGACCACAGAGAGTCAGGACCTTGGTTTTACGTCTCATCCGAAGGACGGCGCCTTTTTTACAGTGTAGTGTCCCCGTCACTATACTGGGGCATTAGGACCCACACAGACTGCAGGGTGAGCGCCCCCTACTGGCCCCACTAACACCTCTTCCAGCAGCAGCCTCAGCTTTCCCAGGAGTCTCCCATCCAGGTACTGGCCAGGCTCACACTGCTGAGCTCCAGGGGGGGCTGCCAGCTGGGAGCTGCAGGGTGATACAGCTGCTAGCTATATGAATATATTGACAGTTATAGCTACTAGCAATGTATTTATACAAACCCCCTTCATTGCAACCTTCCTTTCATTCATCAGATGTCCTACCTGTGACCTCGTTAATGTCAGCCTTCAGCTTTCCCAGGGCTGTGAACAAGTCCCCAAACTTCGTGAAGAGGGACTCCTCCAGGGCGTTGTAGCGGCTGGCAACACAACAGCAGCCCCGCTGGCGAGAGAACGCACACTTGCAGTCCCACCCAGCGCATGGCAGGTCACCTGTCCAGCTCACTGGAGAAGTGGGGGGTGGATGGAGAGGGAATTAGAGTTCGAGAGGACACAGGGAGAGAGAGACAGATTGTAGGACAGAGTGTTAGAGAGGACACAGGGGGAGACAGATTGTAGGACACAGTGTTAGAGAGGACACAGCTCAAGGAGGGAGTTGTACACAACGAAACAGCGGTGGACACACACACCTGCCGCCTCTTGCATGAGGCTCCATGTGGAGCTCTGAGCACTGACACACAGAGACAGCGCCCCCCAGAGGCACACAGCCAGTGCAGCAGCTGTCTTCATCGTCCGGCAGTACAGATAGACACGGGTAGCCTGGCGAAAGATGTTTGTAACATGGCAAAATAAAGTGCAGCTAGTTGTTTGACTGGTATTGTTTTCTTTCATTTAGAATTGTTAACTTAGTTATTGTCACACCCAACGGATTTTTCATGTCTCGGCTGCTGTTAACCCTGTGTCCTCATGCAGGGGAAAGTGACCCACATCACAGGCAGCACAGCCCCATACCGGAGGACCAGTGCTGATTGCAGGAGGGGTGCATCCCTCTTCCAGAACCCCTTGATAATTGGAGGAAAGATGCGTCCCTCACCCACAGCTCTGTACTGATTGGAAGAAAGATGCATCCCTCAACCACAGCTCTGCACTGATTGGAAGAAAGATGCGTCCCTCACCCACAGCTCTGCACTGATTGGAAGAAAGACGCGTCTCTCACCCACAGCTCTGCACTGATTGGAAGAAAGACGCGTCCCTCGCCCACAGCTCTGCACTGATTGGAAGAAAGACGC